TTATTTATTTTCTGCTGTGTTTTACTTGCATCTATTTGAAAGAGTGAGTGTAAACACAAAAAATATTTTATTTCATGTGCTGGAATGTGCAGAAAATAGGTTTAAATGTTAAACAAATTTCTTCCAGTCAGAGAATGCTGCATAGAATAACATTTTTGCTTGATGCATAAAGTTAAAACATTAAAACTAATAAAACAAGTTTTAAAAAGAGACTTTTCCATTTGATTACATTTTGTATGATGGATTATGCAGAAAAAGTAGAATTGGGAGAGAGAGAAAAAGAAACAAATCTTGGCAGAAAATCAGTGAGGATAGGAAGACCATGACAAATACCTCTTCTTCTCTTTCTTTTGACTGGGTCCTTTAAGGATCATCTGCCTCTATCTCACCTTATCTGTAGTATCTTCCTCTGTCACACCAATCCTCTGCATGTCCTCCTTCACTACGTCCATCATACAGACAACAATCAGGGGTCCTGCTGCCAGCGCCCCAGTGCAGGACACCACAGACCACCACAACAGGTCACATGTTAATGGGTATTATGGTTAGTTTCATTGTTTGTAATTAGTTATTAGCAACAATAGCTCCTAAATTGCAGGCAGTGTACAAAGATGTTTGACATGACTTTGTCCGTTGAAAATCACAACGTATAGGTTTCTCATCTGATTTCACTCAAGACTGTTCACCTCTGCAGGAAGATGCTTATAAAGAAAATACATTTCCATGGCCTTCAAATCCAAATCAAATGAAACTATACTCGTATCAATCTCTACGGCTCTCCTCTGTCTATATCACAGGTTTGGCTTAATGCAGCTGCCCAGGTGTTTAACTCACTTGGAATAGCATTTGGCTCGATGATTTCAATGGCAAGTTACAACAAGTTCAACAACAACATTCTCAGGTAAGCATTCATAACACTCTGTCTAAAAAAAGCTCAAACAGAGTGGAAAAAGCAGTCATTTTTTAATAAGATGGACACAAAATGCTGAAAAAGAACAGTGTGGGTTCACTTGACTTCAATACACAGTAAATTAAAAGATGCTGTATCACCCTCTTTCTTGTAGTTAATACAGACACAGCATGTTACTGTAAACTTGACAGTTTCCTTGATGAACAGCAGTGGTCTTGGTTGCCTGTGATTTGAGGGCATGTGGTTATATAGCTGTTTTGCTCACAGCAGGTGGGGAACAAAGTTAAATTATTTATGGAACAAATTGTATTTTCCTTCAAAATTTGCTTTGCTGTTAAAGATCCTGGGGTGCTAATGCTGCATGTGCACCACTGAAGGCCTCAGACATTTCTGATAAAGTGCGAGCTTGACAATAACACGAGAGCAATAAACTACATTTCACAGACGTTGTCCTTTTTCTTTACCAGGGATGCATTGATTGTATCAGTGGCCAACTCTTTCACTAGTATCCTGGCTGGCTTCGTGATCTTCTCAGCTGTCGGTTACATGTCTCATATACATAACCTCCCAGTGGACAACATAGCTACAGATGGTGAGTCCCTGAAAACGACATCAGACTTGTAGCTTTGTTTTATCTTGAGGACTTTAAAAAGAAGAGAGATCATCATAGTTCAAGACTGGAGACAGATCCCAGGCTTGTTTTAAGAGCTGATGTTTGTTTTCCTTGTCCTTGGAACATGTCTCTTCTTTCCATGGAAAATAAAGGCATATTTCAGGATGTGCACATCTGGATGCAGTTTCCTAAAGTGGCTCCCGACTAATTATATAAGGAAAATTCACTGTATTCATTATAAGGAGTACTATTCATCAACTGCCTGTACAAACAATTGTGTGTCTGTTGCTGTAAGTAGAGTAATCTAACTGCACTGTGGCAAATTCAGTTTTCATACTATAGTCGAAACTGCAAGACTTTCTCAGCTTAATGAACAGTACTAAATCTTTCAAGTGCCCTTTTTGAGTACATAACTTGTGTATACATGCCTGTGTGAGAGAGTGTAGTTTAATTTAGTTAAGTGTTGTTAAGTGTTTAAGCAACATTTAAGCATCAGCAGTCAAGCAGTGAGTTATTAAAGACAGAGATTGCGTGTGTTCAGATAAAATCCTCTGATCTCAATGTCAAATTGTTCCTGTCAGCTGTCATCAGATGTTGAGGTCTGATTCACTTTGAAAAATCACTTTGCTCTTAATTGGTTGAACTTTCTTCACAAATTGTAATTTTTAATAAGTGCCCCTTAGACAAGAATGCTTGATTGCAGTTTGTGCTGGTTAGATACACTATATTACCAAAAGTATTCACTCGCCCATCCAAATCATTGAATTCCAATAACTTCCGAGCACCTAGGCATTCAGACTGCTTTTACAAACACGACTGAAAGAATGGGTCGCTAACTTTCCATCGCTACAGAACTACGGGGCAATGAAATGGGTTTTTCTATGTAAGGGCTTTTTATCTAACACACATACACATTCATAGAGCAACATGGGGTTAGTATCTTTGGCATGCAAACTGGAGCAGATGGAGATCGAACCACCAACCTTCTGGTCAGTAGGTGACTTGTGCTACCTCCTGAGCTTTAGCCCACGTGGTGTAAAGCACAGCACCACTCGACTCTAGAGCAGTGGAGACATGTTCGCTTGAGTCACAAATTTGTTCTCTCGTCCTCCCGAGTCTCCAACTACAGTCTTGCAGTGTGCTTCTTTAAGCTGCCGCTAATTTCTACGTGCAGGCGAAATCTTATTGTCTAGCTATATGATTCCAGGGAGTTCAGGAGCTCATGTCATGAATGAAGGACCTTGTTGTGCTTTGTTACACTTTAGTTAGGGTTATCTTAAACATGTCTGAGCCCTTTACTTCACTATAAACTGAGCTAAGCTAAATATTTATCTCATAACTCTTGCCAAGCAAAGAAATATGTGCATGTCACTGAATGGATCCCAGTTTATATTTTAGCAGAACTCAAAATATGCTCCAAATAACACACATTTAAAGTACAGCTCAGTACAGCACAGCCAACTTAAGCTGGAATAGCAACGGATATCCTGCATTTGTATATGTCTGCATTGTAAAATAGCAACAAGTCCTCTGTTGTGTTATATTTCAGGTGCTGGTTTGGTGTTTGTTGTGTACCCTGAAGTTCTTTCAACCATGCCAGTCTTTCAGCTATGGGCCCCACTTTTTTTTATCATGCTGTTGTGTCTGGGCGTGGACAGTCAGGTAAACATCTAAACATCTGCAGTGCTGTACATTTAATTTTTTACATCAAACTTTAGCTTTTGCACTTTTGAATATAAAGGAAACATTTGCACACTTGTATCGAAAGAGGTCTCTTACCCTCACTGTGGTTTGCCTTTACTGTTTGGATATTTTATTACCATACTACTTTTGCTTTAATATAAAAGGCTTGAATGTAAATATACAAGTGTTAAGATGAAGCTAAGATGGATCAAGAGAGATAGAGCATGCAGGCTGAGAAGCCTGGAGAATGCTCGTCTGTCTGAGTTGAGCTGGTAGGCTGAGTGCTAGAGAACTGAGGGCTGAGTATTGCCATATCTGCCACTCACAACACAGACAGTAAGACAGACAGGCTAAACAAGGAGAAATATGTACGACATCTGAATGACTGTGATTATGATTTAAAACTCCAAGGTCTGCAGATAACCATTAAGTTTGTATTAAATCTTTTGTTCTGCAGTTTGGCACAGTTGAGGTAGCTGTGACATACATAAAGAATGAATTTGGAGTCAAAGTTCTGCCTTTCCTGAAGAGAGAAGAGCTGCTGGTCCTGGCTGTGTGCTTTGTTTGCTTTGTACTGGGGATTCCTCACATTACCAAGGTACAGTATGTAAGACACTTCTCAGGGAAACACATTTGGGGATGTGGTAAGAGTCACTGTTTTGTCATGTAGGTCTGTCTTTTACTTACAGGGAGGTATCTACGTGTTTCAGCTGATGGACCACTACACTGCTGTGGTTTCTCTTGTGTTCTTGGCTTTCTTTGAGGTTGTTGCCATCTGTTGGATCTTTGGTAAAATTCACATGAAGTTCACTTTTTCGTTTATGTTTAAAAAAAATAAGGGGAACACTTAAACAACACAATGTAACTCCAAGTCAATCACACTTTTGTGAAATCAAACTGTCCACTTAGGAAGCAGCACTGACTGACAATCAATTTCACATGCTGTTGTGCAAATGGAATAGAAATTATAGGCAATTAGCATAAGACATTCCCAATAAAGGAGTGGTTCTGCAGGTGGTGACCACTGACCACTTCTCAGTACCTACGCTTTCTGGCTGATGTTTTGGTCACTTTTGAATGCTGGCGGTGATTTCACTCTAGTGGTAGCATGAGGCGGAGTCTACAACCCACACAATTGGCTCAGGTAGTGCAGCTCATCCAGGCTGGGACATCAATGCGAGCTTTGGCAAGAAGGTTTGCTCTGTCTGTCAGCATAGTGTCCAGAGCATGGAGGTGCTACCAGGATACAGGCCAGTACATCAGGAGACATGGAGGAGGCCATACCCACATAGCAAGCAGGTCTGGCCCAGATCTGGCAACAAGCCGGCACTGCTGGTTGACTTCTGGCATGATAAGATGTATGTCATCCAGATATGGGCTGGGCTTGGCATAGATGGCACTGTCTATGCGATGGCATGCCATATCTGGCTCGATTGTGCTTGCTTTGTGGGTTATTTTTAATATTTTTGTGGACACCTGCCAAAACGCTTTGCAAGAAGGGGTTAAATAATTAAACTCTTTCTTTTTCTCAGGTATCCCACGTATCTCCTTAATGATCAGAAGGATGCTAGGAAAAAGTCCAAATATCTACTTCCGAGTCTGCTGGCTGCTGCTCTGCCCCATGTTGGTGCTGGTGAGTCCTGTTTAAATAATGCACCTAAAACCACCAGTAAAGTAGCTAATAAGACTGTTCTTCATTTCTCTTTATAGTGCATACTGGTTTCCAGCATTATTCAGTACACTCCTCCTCACTATGGGAAGTACGAGTACCCAGTGTGGGCTGAATGGGTGGGCTGGGGTGTCTCTTTGGTCTCTATAGTATGGATCCCATTTGGTGCAATACAAGAGATCTATAACAATAAAGGATCCCTTCTTCAGGTAAGCAAATATGATTGTACAGACTTTGGCTTATTTATTCGATATGTTTACTTTTTTTATTCTAGCATGTTAATTAGCAAACTTTAAACCTAATCCAGTGGCATTGCTTTGTTCCTGGATGTGACAGAAACTTATGTATTATCAAAGATATGTTTGTTCAAATGTTGACCTGCTGGTGGATCAGAACATGACTAAAGTCAGTCTGCCTAATCTTCTGGGAACTAGTGTCACATTTTCACAGTAGTGCGGTAAAATGTTTGTGAACAAACACGGCCATTGACTTTTGAATCATGCTGATAAAAAGGGCAGTGTTCGGTGATGGGTTAGTGGCTCCAGTGACAGTCAGATATTACGGATAGTCCTTTTGCTGATTATTTATTTAAATCTTTGCTTGAACATTACTTTCAAACTGATGATTGCTTAAACCTTACCTTCTTTAATCCCCAGAGACTGAAAACAGCTATGACTCCGACAATAGACCTGAATGTTATGGCTCACCTGCCGGAAAAACAAAACCTTGACAACCTGGCGTCTGAAAAATTACTCAGTTCGGTGCCACCTCTGACACAGTGACCACATACAAGGCCTGGAATAAGCAGACTTTGGGCCATTTCTATCATAATCCCAGTTACATCCAAAGAGCTGTTGTTATCTCAAACTCTGCATTTATACTTTAACAACTCGAGCCACTTAACCTGTAGGCGACTTCAAAACCATACAGTAAGTCACCCATTGCACCTTTTACAAAGAATGCAACTAAAATCTGTGGCTTTGTTCACCAGATGAATTTTAAAATTATTTTATTTTGGGTAGGAGTGGCTGAGGAGCAAGTAATTGTTTAAAACGATTGGTTCGTTATGCTGTAAGGTTCATTGTATACATCAGTGAGTCTGTGGGGTTAAAGAGTGTATAATGGATCTATCGTAGATGCAGCCTTTTAGCCTTTTAGGTCACTACATTTATGAGTTGAATACTTAATACTTAATTTTAAATCAACAAAAGAAATGGGTTTGAAAAGGCTTGGTCCAATGAACAGGAAGCAGACATATTCCTCCTACAAATATGAAAGCAGAAAAATACAGGTTCTATAGATGTGTGACAGATGTGATCTGGTCAGCGGGTTAGCAGGTTACACCTGGACATCCAGGCCAAATTTGACCCCTTGGTTCTCCCTGTCGAGCCTGTGAGAGTTTAAGGAGAATTTAGGATTCAAAGGTGAAAAAGTATAAATCACGCAGTTTGTCCCATTTCATCCAACAAACAGAGAATGGCTTACAGTTTTTTCTTTTACAAAATTTGTTAATTTTATTTTGAAAGGAATATTCTTTAAAAAATTATATTTGATGCAGAATATAGTTGTTTTTTTTTTAACGAGACCTGGATTTGTAAATATTTATTTACTGAAGTCAGAGGTAAAGCTGCATGCGTTGCTTGATGAGAGCATATTGCTGTGTTTAAGGTTTACAAAGCATTTGCAAATACAAGCACATGACTGATGCAGAGACATCTGAGCCTTATAGCAAAGTTTGGAGAGTTGCTGTGCTAATATTTCCTAATAATAAAAAGAAGCGGACCCAAATGCAGGAGGTAGGAGTCAAACTTAAAAATGAGTATTTCATGCAGGTCGATCAGGAAAATGTACAAAGTCAAAAACTCCAAAGAGTGAGTCAGGGAATGCAAAAGGCAAGAAATATACAGAGTGAGGGAACGCACAGCTCACACAGGTAATGTGTCATAGGAGGACTGAAAAAATATATACAGAAGGTATAGGTTGGGAACACAGACTGGAGGAAAGCTACAATTAATATAAAACACAGAGAGCAGTAGCTGCCAAAATAAAACAGGAAGTAAGACACGTTGGACAGAGAAATAAGATTAACTTAAGAGACACTGAAGGACAAAAAAGGGTGCTAACAAAATACCTGAAAGTCACAGTAACTAAATTGAACTGGCAGCACTGCACAGAATGAAAGGGACTATGACAGTGGCACATGGAGTAACTCCATGCTTGGATAGGCTGGAGCTGAGGTGGTATTTTGCACCAACATATTTTGGTGAGCACTGACTTAAACAACACCAAGAGATGTTGCAAAAAATTAACCATTTTGTTGATATTTTAACTCAAATAGTTAACTTCATCAGGGCAAGAGTACTGAATCACTGACAGTTTGTTGCACTATTGGAGGAGAGGTGACATAGGCTACCACAGCTGTCAGGTGACTCAGCCGGGGCAAAGTGCTAAAACAAATGTAGGACCTGAGAGCAGAAACTTTAGTTTTATGAAGAAAGGCGAGGGCGTTCCAGAGCTCTAAGATGCAGGTCTTGCATTTGGCATTGAAGAGGCAGTCCTTCACATTTAAATTAAAAAAATGCGGTGAAAAAGCAGCAGAAAATGCACATGCAGAGGAATTCACAGCACTGAAGAGGCCAGTCACAACAGCTGTGCTGATGTCAAGTCTAGTCACATTTCCAGCGAGGCACACGTAAAGTTATTGTGTTAGGGTTTCAGAGGGGTTTGTAGACAGAAGTCTAACTCAACTGTCAGCCACTGACCCTGACTTTAATGCACTTGAGAAGACCAAAACAGACTAGATTAATCTTACTGATCAAGACAAAAGAAGATGAAGTATTAAACGACAACCAAAGTAGAAATATCACTCTGTTTGAAGTGGACATTTTGCAGAAACGGGCCATTTTTTGCAATTATTTTGTGTGGCCATCCACAGTCCCACTCCTGTAGCCCCTTGAGAAAAGGTATTGCCTACCTCTGCTATAAAGGATAAGCTGGTCTAACCATGAGAGGAAGGTTTGATTATATTTTTAACCAAACTGAAGCTGGCAACCCACAAGAGTTTAGACGTTATAAGTGGGGCCTTTGAGCTAGTGCTATAAACAGAATCTAGGTAACAAGTCTATAATAACTTCAGTGGGGAAGGACTTATTTGGTAACTCAAGTTGGTTGTGTTTTGACCCCAAAACAGCTGATAATTTCTGACTTTTATTTCTATTTTTTTCTTGAAGGAGAAGCCAAAAATTTCCGTTTACTAGAAATTTATCTTTAAGCTTTATCTCTAAGATTGCACAGTAGTGGAAAGTACAGTTTTTAATGTCTGATCCAGGGTCTCTAGAGCACAGTCTAAATGTAATTAACATGGTTCAGCCAGTGCTGGAACTTTAAGCCTTGATTTAACTCTGTGAGGTCTCAGTCATGACCTTATGTTCAGTCCTGTGTTCTGGAGACGTTCTGTGCTAAAAATAATTTGGTTTGTCAGTTATAATGTTCACTTTTTCGTCCTGATTGACAGAACTTGGGAGAACAATTTTAAAAAATGAAATAAATAACAGCAACACTGATAATGACTGTGACATCACGGTGTTAATTTTTTGTCTTGTTTTGTAAGTAGAAAAAATTAAATTACATATTTTTGGTAAGTAAATCACACATCAATATTGCACTGATGCCATCATATGAGATTGGCTAAAAGCTTGTGCACTACAGTACAGGCCTGAATGTCAGAATTCCTTGGTAGTTATTCAAAGAGTGCCTATTTAGACCAAATCTATAATGATGACGGACCGTATGAAATGAAATTAAACTAATACAAAGAAGGTGATAAGACTTTTATCAGTAGTTTTATACATTTTACAAAGTTTTTATAAATTAAATATAAATTCTGTCAACACAAGAGGTCAGTGTTTACAGTTTTTATTAATTGGAATTTTAATATGACCTGCATAAAAATTGCAAAACTCTTTTAATGTAATAACTTAAAAATATTGATAATAATAATTGATAATTTTGTTCAGAAATGTTTTAAGTCTTGCTTATATTTGATGGGCAGCCATGTGTTGTGACGTGCTGAATATATCAGGTTTCATTCTTATAAATTTTTTTTTTTTTTTTATCCCTCCTTAAAAAAAATCATATGTGTACTATGTTGTGATTTTGGGGTGCTGTCTGTGTAAAAACATGAAGTGTGCAAATGTTTATCTGAATTAATACCACAAATGTCACTAGGGGGCAGCATAGCAGCAAAAAAAAATGCGAGATGAGATTTGAGAAATCTCTGCATACAGCACTTGTTATTTATACTTGTGCTCATAATGATATATATATATATATGTATATGTGTGTGTGTGTGTGTGTGTGTGTGTGTGTGTGTGTATGTATCTGTATAGTTATAATCACCTCAGTGACAAAATTATTAGCTTTTAGCAATCATTTGGTGAGACATCTTTATGCACTAATGGGACTATGTGCATATGTTAGTATGGAACTGAGTAAATGGCTTCTTTGTACTGTCTACGAGTATCACCAGTACACATGTTTAGATTTAATGACTCCACTGTGAGCTGAGGTCCTGATAACTGTCTCTGTGGTCAATGCACTGAGCTGCAGAAACACTCGAGGCAAAGGAGAGCAGAGCTGAATGCAGTGCTCTAAGAGCTTTGGGAAGTTAATTATGCCCTTGCCATGGAGTGCTGCAGCAGTGGTCCTAGCAGAACTGTATGTTAATCAATACTGCCTTCCTGCTTCCCTCATGACAGAATGTGTCACAGGCACTAAATTAGCGCTGGGAGGCTGTTTGATCAATAGCTATAGACTGTGTGACCCAAGGGGAAGTAAATTAATGGCTATCCATAGCAAAGGGGAAGTGTTTGCAAGCCTGAATGGGCAATGGAGGCAAAGATGGGCCACTGTCTAACTCATGTTTGGAGGTGTTAAGACATTTATATGTGCCAGGAAATGAGGTGAACCAGCAACTGATACACCTGCTTGAGGTGTTTCAGATCTTATCTTGCCTTTCTTGAGTAGCGCTAGCTTGTGTGGTGGCTCAAAATATAACAGCCTGAGAAGAAACTTGAAATGTTAGCAATTTCACTTCCTCGTAAACAAGTTTTCTGTTACTTCAACATCTAACTTTGAATTTGAACTTGCAGACTACTAATAGAAAGTGAGAGGATCACATCTGGTTTAATTTTAATGAGGGTGCATGTCTCTGTGTGGGTCTGTATGTGTGCGAGAGAGGGTGAGACAGAAAATGATTAAGTAAAAGAAGTGGAGATCAAAGTTGATTATATGCCTGCTGCTACTGGTCACAGGAGTGGTGCTGAGAATAACACAAAGTAGTACATCAAAGAAGGGGACTTTTTCCTCATTATCCACTCAACTGACATACATGTGTCATGATGATACAGCTACAACTACTTAGTTTCTTAATCAAAGGAAGCCACAGGAGTATCTATGCATATGGTCTACTGTCTCAGAGGTTACATATATACTTGTGAGGAGGATGTCACCCACACATATCTAAGGATATATTGAGCAATCTTGTGAATAAAATAGGCGATGTAGCAATACAACTATGTACACACAAACCCAAGTCTGATTTTAACAGTAATGTCATAAAGGCCTGAAGTGCTGTTTTATTTCACGCCTCTGCATGCATGCATACATTCTTAACTAGTTTCTGTGTGGCTGCTGATTTGCATTGAGCACATTTTCATTTTGCAGAAACAAATCTCTAAAGCAAATCTGTTCTTCACTGCATCTGTAATGCTCATTTGCTTGCCGCTGTGGTTTATTTGATGTGCACTGAGCAAAACTTTGGTGGCCGTTGGTAAGACTGCTGCAAACAACATCAGGAACTGCTGGTTGCTTCAATGCTCAGCCTATTCAAACATTTAGCACCACTTCTGTATATAATTAACGCAGACATCATTTGTCCACCATGCGTGGAAAAGCATATTTGTTTATGTAACTTTAACTCTATATAGTGCTCATTAGTGTATCTTGGCTGTGCATGAGTATCCATATGCAGAGAAAAGCTTTTGAAGCTACTGTTGCTTGGCTTTGTGCAGATTTTGGGTGGTTTCTTTCAGGCTTAAAGTCTGTCGCTGAATGCAGCTCACCTCCTGCTGATAACAAGGCCGCAGCCCACAGCATAAGTTGTTGACCTTTGTGAAAAATGTGAACTACTGTTTGGCTCTTTTACAGATTACATTTTCTTTGACATTGTAGCCATACTACTTTACCACGTGAATGAAATTGTGGACATACCACATCTAAACTCTTTGTCAACATTAGAGTTTATTTAGAATTTTCAGATCCACATAATTAACATGATACAAGTACAAGTTACTTGACAGGAATATGGCTAGTAAATTCTGTTATTGATATAGTGGCATGGTCCCTAAATCCATGGCTTAAAGGACCCTAACATACGACATGCGGAGAAGACCCGAGGGGAAGAGGAGCCCCAGCAAAAGCAAAAGAGAAAGAAGAGCACAAACCACCCACAC